ATGCGTTCTGCTAATTTGAAATTCAAGCCTAAGAAATGTCATCTACTGCAACGCTCCGTTCGATACTTGGGACACATTGTTAGTGCGGACGGGGTGGCCACGGATCCAGAGAAAACTGCGTGTGTCCAGGATTGGGCAACCCCCGCCACGGTGGGTGATGTGCGTCGGTTTTTGGGGTTCGCCTCATATTACCGGAGGTTTGTTCCGAATTTCGCTACTATCGCCAGGCCTTTGCATCTCCTTACTGGGAAGGGGCACAAATTTGTGTGGGGACCGCCGGAGGAGGCGGCGTTTCGGAGCCTGCGCGATCTACTGGCTACTGCGCCGACGTTGGATTATCCGGATTTTGAACATCCCTTCATTCTGGATACTGATGCGAGTGACACCGGGATTGGGGCGGTGTTGTCCCAGTCAAAAGGTGGTGTTGAGCGTGTGGTGGCGTATGGGAGTCGGGTTTTGTCTCCCGCGGAAACCCGTTACTGCGTCACTCGCAGGGAACTTTTGGCTATTGTGTTTTTTCTCCGCCAATTTCGACCGTATCTGTACGGTCGGTCGTTTATTGTCCGAACGGACCATGCGGCCTTGCAGTACGCTCTTAAGATGGACCAGCCATCCGGACAATTGGCGAGATGGCTGGACACGTTGCAAGAATTCTCCTTCCAAATTCACCATCGGAAGGGTGTGCGTCACGCTAACGCGGACGCACTGTCCAGGTTGCCGCAACAATCCCCTTGTGCGTGTGCGTCGGGAACGCATAGGTGTGGACCGACTCAGCCCCCCCCTCAGCCTGTCGCGCTGGCAGTGGATGTTCTCGAAACTCCGCTTACACCGGGACCGGTTGATGGGGGACCGGCTGACGGGATTTTGCGTCTTCCACGGTCTGTGTGGATTCGGGAGCAAATGATGGACGATTCTTTGGTGTCGTTACGGAAACGAACGGAGAGGGCGGGTAAGGAAGTCGGTGCGGGTGGTAATTCGGAAACTGCTCTCCGAGATGGGTTACTGATGTGGAGGGAAGGGATACAGGAACACTGGCGTCTCGTTGTGCCTGCGTCATTGCGCTATGAGTTGATTAGATCTTTGCACTGTGACACACTTTTACACCTGGGGGTGCAGAAAACCCTATTGACGCTGCAACGAGACTATTATTGGCACGGCATGACGACGGATGTCGTCGGTCACGTTCGCGCGTGTCCCGATTGTGCCCGCCGTAAGCCGCCTAAACATCCATATGTTCCGCCGATACAATCGATTAAAGTATCTCGGGTTAATGAGTTGGTGGCGTTAGATATTTTGGGACCCTTTCCGCCGTCAGCTAAAGGGAATAAGTATTTACTGGTGGGGGTGGAGTACCTCTCTCGCTGGCCGATGGCCTGGCCCTTGCCTGACCAGTCAGCGGCGTCTATCACGGACGCCTTTCTATTTGGGTATGTAATGGACAAAGGGGCTCCGGAGAGGCTCCTTACGGATCAGGGACGTAACTTTTCGTCTAAATTGTTGGGGGAGGTGTGTGCGGCTCTTGGAACTAAAAAGATACGGACGTCCCCCTACCACCCGCAAACGGATGGTATGGTGGAACGGTTGAATCGGACTCTGTCCGCCATGCTGTGCCATACAGTCGGGGAAAACCAATCTGATTGGGATTTGCATATCCCTGGGGTGCTTTCGGCGTATCGCATGACGCCGCACGCGGCTACTGGATACTCGCCGTTTTTCCTTATGTACGGCCGTGAGAACGTGCCGCCGATTCATGACCAGTTGGGAACCGGGGCGAGGGGGCCTGTTAAGCCTCTTCCTGAGTATATTAAGGACAACGTTCGGCGTGTCGCTGAGGCGAGGGAAAATGCCCGCATGGCTACTGCCAAGGCTCAGGCCAGGAATGAGCGGTGTGCCCGACGTTCAAAGGGGGAGTGTCCCTGGAAAAAGGGGGACCTGGCCTGGCTTCATTGCCCACAGGTGCGGCCAGGTACATCTCCTAAATTACATCGACCTTGGCAGGGTCCGGTCCGCCTCATTGAGGTTCCCAACCCACAGTCGGCGCGTGTTCAGGTTGGTGCACGGCGTTGGTTCGTGCACACGTCCCGGTTGAAGCCATACATTGCCCCACGGCCGGATGCGTCATCTCCCGAAGTTGCCTTGCCGGGGTCTGTTGCTGCCGACTCGCCCTTGCCTGTGTCTGCTGACCTTGCGAGAGCGCCTGTAGTACCCTTCACAGACAAGCCGGCCGTGACAGCGCAGGGAGGAGGACCTTCCGCTTGTGGGACACCGACCGGAGCCGCAGACCCCACGGGACCTGCAGCTCTTCCTATCCCTCCGCGGACGCGAGTACGGGATGTCTCTGGACGCGAGCGGGACAGTGGCGGGCCTCCAATGGCGACGGAAGAACTTGCGCCCGTCGCCCCTAAAACCCTTCCACGTTCCCGCTCGGCGGGTGGGCTGCCGACCGTCCGGGACGGCCCGGCTACCCGTACTCGCTCGAAATCCCTCACGTTTCGTTAGATTGTGTTGTGTTGTGTTATTGTTATAATGTTCTTCAATGCTTCGTGTCTTTTTGCGTGTTGGCCCTTTACACCCGCATTGCTTTTCAGGTTGCAATTCAGCCGAGGTCGGCTGGATTTTCTTTAGGGGGGAGGGTGATGTAATGCGGTTGTAAACGGCCCTTTTGAGGTGCCGTCAGGGGGGGAGGAGTTAGGTCACGTGGGGGGAGAGGGATTGAGTATAGAAGGAGGGGGAACCGGAAGAGCAAGGGGAGTGACGGGGAGCCAGGAACAGAGGAAGGCCACGTAGGGCGAAGCGGGGTGTGGCGAGATCGCCACGAACACGGGGGAAGCGAGGATCGGCACCGTTGGCCAGCGGTGACCGACCCGAAGCAGCAAGGAGGCTGCAGTCAGCAGCGGGGCTGCACAGAGAGGGTGGGCAGCGGGTCTGCATACAGTGACAGCCAGAGGGTCTGCACATAGGGGTAGCAGCAGGAGTCTGCATAGGGGTAGCAGCGAGTCTGCAGGGAGGAGGTTACAATAGATGAAGCAGAGAGTCAGAGGGGAGAGGAAGCTATAATAGCAGTGAATAGCCGGGGGCTACAAATACAGGAGTTATAACAGAGTGCCGTGTGGGTAAAGACGTGAACCTGAATAAAGACACGAAGACAGAAAGAAGTGTTCGAGTCCTTTTATTACACTAGTACAGCACTAGTGTGTAGTGTATAATGTATACTAGTACAGCACTACATCTCCAACACAGGCGGTGTAGTGCTGTACTAGTATACTACACTATACACTAGTGTTGTACTAGTATACTACACTATACACTACACACTAGTGCTGTACTAGTATACAACATTATACACTACACTATACACTACACTATACACTACACTAGGCTGTGTGCTGTGATCGTGACGAACCGGCCCCGTGCTATTCACACGACACTCACGTTCACTAGGTGGCTGTGTCGGGTGGTGGCGGGTTTAACGACACATTCATATACTTACACGATCTAAGACCCCACACCCCCCCCCCACCCCAAAAAAACACAACCTCAATTACGGATGACATTGGTAGCGAAAGCGTCTGTGTTAAAATGACAATAGGTACATTCATACTCACACATTACACATCATTGAAGAGACACACACAACGCACCACACAACACACAACACACCACGCACCACACAACACACCACGCACCACACAACACACCACGCACCACACACAACGCACCACACAACACACCACGCACCACACACAACGCACCACACCACGCACCACACACAACGCACCACACACACCACACACAACGCACCACACACACACAAACAACGCACCACACACACACAAACAACGCACCACACACACACAAACAACGCACCACACACACACAAACAACACACCACACACACACAAACAACACACCACACACACACACAAACAACACACCACACACACACAAGGCACCACAGACACACACACACACAACGGACCACACACACACACAACGCACCACACACACACACAACGCACCACACACATGACACAGCACACTGGACACACACACACACACCACACACACCACACACACAGCACACTGGACACACACACACCACACACACACACACTGGACACACACACACCACACACACACACACTGGACACACACCACACACACACACCACACACACACAACACACACACTACACACCCGGACAATCTTGCCTGCTGCTAATTCGTCACGTGTGGCTGAACCGTGGAACTCTAAATCCATCCGAACCGACTCAGTGCATCCATCATCATCACGCAACCATCGAGTCGACGGACATACAAACACACACACAGAGACAGACACACACACACAGAGACACACACAGACAGAGAGACAGACAAAGACAGAGCGAGAAAAACAACAAGAGAGACAGCGAGAAAGACGGACACGGCGTGACACACTCTGGCAGCTAAACATTTTTCCCCTCCGACAAAAGCTCACGGACAACGGCCTTGCCACACACACACACAGTGCGACGTTTACCACCACCACCACCGCCACCACCGCACGCTTGCAGAGCCAACTCAACTAAGCAGCAGCAGCAGCAAGCATTTGCCCCGACAGCCTGTTCAGGCTATACGGGGGATTTTTGTCTTTTGCGTGCACCTAGCCTGGCACAGTGGGAGGCACAGCTGGTGCATCGGGCAGTCGTCTCGGTCAGTCGACCCGTGGCACCAGCTGGGTCTGCCCCGTGACCTCCTGCACCTAGCCTGGCACAGGTGGTGCATCGGCCAGTCATCTCAGTCGACACGTGGCACCAGCTGGGTCTGCCACGTGACCTCCTGCCGGCGGGGGGCGTTTGACACTTCACGTGGTGGCCTCAACGTGCACCTAGCCTGGCACAAGCGCTGTCACTGCCACTTAGTGGTGAACGGCGGATGTTGTTGTTGACGTAGTTGTTGGTGTGTACGTAGTTGTTGTGTACGTAGTTGTTGTTGTGTACGTAGTTGTTGTTGTGTACGTAGTTGTTGTTGTTGTTGTGTACGTAGTTGTTGGTGTGTGTACGTAGTTGTTGGTGTGTACGTAGTTGTTGTTGTGTACGTAGTTGTTGGTGTGTACGTAGTTGTTGTTGTGTACGTAGTTGTTGTTGTGTACGTAGTTGTTGTTGTTGTTGTTGACGTAGTTGTTGGTGTGTACATAGTTGTTGTTGTGTACGTAGTTGTTGTTGTTGTTGTGTACGTAGTTGTTGTTGTGTATGTAGTTGTTGGTGTGTACGTAGTTGTTGTTGTGTACGTAGTTGTTGGTGTGTACGTAGTTGTTGTTGGTGTGTACGTAGTTGTTGTTGGTGTGTACGTAGTTGTTGTTGGTGTGTCTACGTAGTTGTTGGTGTGTACGTAGTTGTTGTTGTTGTTGTTGTGTAGGTAGTTGTTGTTGTGTAGGTAGTTGTTGGTGTGTACGTAGGTAGTTGTTGTTGTGTAGGTAGTTGTTGGTGTGTGTACGCGTGGAACGGCTTTCGCACCGCCGTAACGCAGCAAGCCAAACTGCGCTCGTCGGAGGAAGGACAACAACACACCAACACACAACAACACACACAACAACACACAACAACAACAAGGTGTGAGACGCCGCCGTCGCCGCGACTACGTTACATGGGCGGCACGGGCGAGCAGGCGGCCATGAGCCCCGAGTGACCCAGCTCCAGAAGCACCACCACCACCACCATCATCATCACCACCACCACCATCGCTGGTACCACCACCCCTGCTGGTGCGACCGCTGGTGCTGCCTCCGCTGGCGCGTGGCTCTTGAACGGGGGGGCTGGCGTTGGTGAGCAGAGATGAAGGCAGAGAGGGGTCCGACAGCGCAGACAGCAGCCCAGTGCCACCCATCTCCTTGAGCACCTGTGGGAGAGCGTGGGGAGGTGGCGAGGGTGGTGGGGGTGGTGGTGATGAGGGTGGTGAGGGTGGTGGTGGTGGGTGGTGGTGATGGTGGTGGGTGAGGGTGGTGGGGAGAGTGGTGAGGGTGGTGAGCTTGGTGGTGAGGGTGGTGGTGAGGGTGGGCGACGGTGGGAGACAATGGTGAGGGTGGGGAGGGTGGTGAGGGTGGTGGTGAGGGTGGGCGAGGGTGGTGGTGAGGGTGGTGGTGAGGGAGGTGGTGAGGGAGGTGGTGAGGGTGAGGGTGGTGGTGAGGGGGGTGGTGGTGAGGGTGGTGGTGAGGGTGAGGGTGGTGGTGAGGGGGGTGGTGGTGAGGGGGGTGGTGGTGAGGGTGGTGGTGAGGGTGGTGGTGAGGGTGGGCGAGGGTGGTGGTGAGGGTGGTGGTGAGGGAGGTGGTGAGGGAGGTGGTGAGGGTGAGGGTGGTGGTGAGGGGGGTGGTGGTGAGGGTGGTGGTGAGGGTGGTGAGCGTGGGGAGAGCGTGGGGAGGTGGTGGTGAGGGTGGGAGATAATGGTAAGGGTGGCGGTGGTGATGATGGCGGTGATGATAAGAGGCGGTGGTGATAGCTGGTGACGATACCTGGTGATGATGGCAGTGACGATAGCGCCGGTGGCTGTTGCTGCAGCAGCAGCAGCAGCTGCAGCAGCAGCAGCTGCAGTAGCAGCTGCAGTAGTAGTAGCAGCAGCAGCAGCGTCGTCATCATCGACGACCAGGTCGCACCTGCGGAGATGGAGCGACGTCAGGCAGCATGAAGAACGACTCCCCCGGAGGGCGGGCGACTCCGCTGGGCTCGTCCCTCTTGAGGGAGTCGTCCCTCTTGAGGGAGTCGTCCAACAAGGAGGACTCCAGCTTCTCCGACGCCACCTTGACTCCCTGGGCAGACGGTGTGGGTTCAGATTCACCGCGGAGAGTTTAACCGCGAAGAGTTTCACCGCAAAGAGTTTCACCGCGACAGGTTCACCGCGGTGAACTCGCCGCGGTGAAACTCACCGCAGTCGAGGGGTGTTTGTGTTGCCCCGCAAGCAGCAGCTTCAGTTCCCACCCCCTTGAAACAACCCCCACCCATCTTCTCCCCTAGCCCAGCATCACCATCATCATCACCATTATCATCATCACCATCGACATCATCACCATCATCATCACCATCATCATCACCATCATCATCACCATCATCATCATCACCACCATCATCACCACCATCATCACCATCACCACCATCATCACCACCATCATCATCATCATCACCACCATCATCACCATCATCATCATCACCATTATCATCACCATCATCATCACCATCATCGACATCATCACCATCATCATCACCATCATCATCACCATCATCATCACCATCATCATCATCATCACCACCATCATCACCACCATCATCACCATCACCACCATCATCACCACCATCATCATCATCATCACCACCATCATCACCATCATCATCATCACCATTATCATCACCATCATCATCACCATCATCACCATCACCACCATCATCACCACCATCATCATCACCATCACCATCATCATCACCATCATCATCACCATCATCATCACCATCATCACCACCATCATCACCAC